TTTACCATTCAGCAAGGGTATGAGGGTTGTTACCTGACATGCCAGAAGTTCTGCTTTGACTTCCAGACCCCCAGCAATTGACTTGGGGATCTGGTTAAAACAAGGCAACAAGAGACCTACAGAAAGGGAAAGGGGAGCTAGCTGCACCCATTTCTCTCCAGGCACTTTTTGGGGGATGGAAGAAGGGAAACAAGCAGAGAGCTGATTTTTTTTGTTCCTTCTAGATATTTTTTTTTTCCTTGTCCTTGATGCCCGTGGAAACACCTTTTTCCATAACAGTAAGCTTATGTATTCTTAAATGCTTCGTCTGCAGTTAGTAGCCTCTGTCTAAGCCCCACACTCTCTTCATAAAATGTCTTTTGTTCTATTTCTCAAAAGTGCATAAAACAGTGATTCCATTGCACACTGAATGCATTTTCTGAACATAACTTACTGCCTCACACTTATTGCCTCACAAATATTTTGCAATGCATATATGTACGTTTTTCTGTATGTTTGTGTGTACATAAGGAGATACGTGTCTCTACACGCCCCTATGATTTCATACACATACTATTTACACATCTGTGTCAGAATAAACTTTTTTACACCTGACCTAGCCAACACTGGAAGTCATTTTTTCACTGCAACCTCACCGTCTGTAGCAGTGGCCTCATTTGGCTGTGAGTTAAGGAAGAGGCATCAAATGCTGCAGTCATTTTTGCATAGATGCCTAAGCTGAAAGGGGATCTGGTCCTGTCTCATACACACCTGTAGGACTCATCTGTACTACAATGCTGATCTTTGAAGGTGAATGTGCAAAGTGTATTCTGTTCGTAGAGCCTAATTTCTTTATGGTTTGCTTCATGTTATATAGTGCAATCAGTCTATAACTTTACTGCACATAGTAAGGCTTATTTAGTTGACAAAACTACATTCAAGTAGGGACAAAAATGAAGCAACTGTAAATAAATAAATTGAACGAATCGTACTCTGTGACTTGTAGTCTTGTACAATTGGGGATTATGCCTCACGAAGTGATTAACCTTTACAAACCATAACAAAGATTGTTACTGCTGCCTTAGCAGGTGGGGGTAGAGATGTGAAGATGCTAAGTCACTTGCTGATCTGTGTAATGAGTCCACAGCTAATCTGGATCCAGGATATTTGTCCGGGCTTTCTGCATTGTCAGTCATATAAGACTTAGCAACGTTTAGTGAGCAACAGAGACAAAGTTTTGTGTTCTTCCCCCTATGCTTCCCTTTCTTCTTTTTTTTCTTCATTCCAAATTGTTGTTGATATATGTTATGTTATGTCAATATATGATATGTTAATATCAGAGCAGAGGTTACCCTGATATATGAGAATGGCAGTTGAGACTGGAGGTCGTTTTTCCTGGTACAGATTGGTCTTCAGTTGTGTAGCTCAGTGAAGGCTTTAAACTTTTGAAGTGCAGTATCTAGGATCTTCATTTAGACCCAGATGTGTTTCCTTATGAAATATCAACCTGAAAGGTCCTTCCGAGTAGATTTCTCTCGTGACTGAAGCCTGCAGTAATAATGTGACAAAGTCCAGCCATGCTGTGGGTAAGTGGCAAATGCAAAAATACGGTATATCTTATCTCATTCTGGATCTGATGCCTTTTCTGCTGACCCATAGGGACCAGTGTTTCAGGTGGGAAAACATAAATGCTTATAGGTAGGATAGATAGAGAAATTCTGTCACAGCGTTTAGCCTTGCTGTCCTTTGCATAAGTCTTCTGCCAGAGCTTGGTCGGCAACAACACGGGCCAGGTTCAGACTGCAGAGGGACAATAATAAAACTCTTGCTCAAGTCATCACCTGGAAGATTAAATGAACCTTTGTGCTGCTATGAGAAATCTGCTTGCTTGCAAGCATTAGTCAGTTCTGAATTGTTACATTAAACGGAGGAAAAACCAAAGTAGATCAAAATGCTTACATACAATATGCTTATATACATATGTACAATACTTAACCGTGTGGTGTAATGAATATAATTCCACGGAAATCCCAGTCCTGTGGGACTTTGCTAGTGCATGACCGAGCGCAGCTTCTTTAAGTCTCTGCTTCTCCAGCTCTTAGCTTAGAGTAACTGCAACACCTAGTATTCAGAGGATGCCTAAACATCCTGTGCCTCATTCTGCAAGAGACATTTGAACAGCTTTGTTTTCTTGTAAAAATACTTTTATGAAGAGTGTTTTCGAATTCTGCATTTAGGCTCTAGTTTTTGCACATTGGTGCTGAAAGCGGTTTTTAGATGAGGGTGTACCATTTTACTGCCTTAAAAATGAAACGTCTCCATTCAGTAATATTCTTTAAAACAAAGAATAAAAAAGAGAAAAAAAGAACAAACAACAAATGCATTGGATGGTTGTAACCTGACAAGTGTAAAATAATTATGTCTGAGGCTTGTCTGATTACTCCTTTCATTCATCTCCCTTTTTTCACTAGATATCGTCAGAGGTTGCTTCTTCTGAGGGTAGAGATGTGGACCTTTGCTCTCTTGAATATATTGTTATCATCTGTCAGGCTTACAGCACTGAAGATTGTAAATGTATTTTGTGATAAGACTTTATTGTACGTCTGGAAAACCATATGCCTAGAAAGCACAGACAAAATATGACACTGTGTGATACGGAGAAGATAAGTATGAAGAGATTCTGAATGAAACTGGCCATTTGCAGTCTGACTGGGCTTTTGGGTCTTCTCCTCCTCTCCTCCTTTTTAGATTTTAACCACCCAAACTGGTCAGATTGCTGTTTCTTGTTGATATACTTGGCTTTTTCTTTTTTTGCTCTGTGAACAATACAAACCTGATTTTCTTCATTAATTCTTCTGCTTGACATATTATAACCTTTAATGGAGGTAGGGATGAGGTATACTCCCCAGGCATGGGTATGCAGCATGCTCTGTTTCCCTGGCAGGTCAGTGATGTTGTGTTGACATAGCAACTTTTGATCCTGTTTCTTTTCCCTAGAACAGTGCCTTCTAAGGCACAGCTTTCCAATTCCGCAAAGGTTCAATCCTGCTTGCTTTTATGCAGGGGAATTAATTGGCATTCGGTTCAGACTCTGACAGTGTTCTTTCATCAGTATTTGAGGCGAGCACTGTCCTTTCTTTTTCCCGTATTCTAAGGAGTCTGTTTGCATTAGGAGCCTTAAAGGTGCAATATAAAAGCGATTGGCATAGTGGTAAAATGCCATAGAATTAATTGGTTCATCTTCTGGTATGATTATCAGCTGCAGTGAAGATAAAAGTAGCCCCAGATCCCCACTTGAGGTGGAGTCCTGCCCCTCCCTCATTCCACTGACTCTTCCTCCTGCTGCTTGTTTTGCACAGGCTTGGGTTTCCTCCAAGAGTCTGCTCATCAGTAAACTAATGGCAAAAAAAAGTGTGGCTGTATTATAATTTTTTTTTTCTGCAGGGTTAGTGAATTGAACTGGCTTTCGGGGAGTGTCTGATGAACATAAGGGCTGGGGAAGTTCAATTACGTGGCCAAAACCTGGCCAAAACCCAAACCTGGCATAGCTAGGACAGGAGAGAAAGAAAGAGGGAAACAAAGGGTTGCAGAGGGGAAAATGCAGAACCTGTTACATGAAGAAAACATATTTGTTCAGTTCAAATGACTGGAACAACTCCTCATGTTTGATGTTAATTATTTCTGCCTACTCTCTTTCATCCTTTAATCTGTCGCTTCTAATTCATAAACCCTTCACAGCAGGGATTATGCATAATCTTGTCGGACTCTGAAAAATCTCAAGAGCATTAATACAAATATAGTAATAGTCAATCTAGTAAGTCCATCTCAGCTCCTGCTAGCTGCTGGATTGGTTCCTCCATATAAATGGAAGTGCTTTATTCCAAGTATATTAGATAAGTGCTCTCCTTCAGGTTTAGCTCTTCTAGATAACTTTCACAATTAATCATAATTAGCGGAACATCAAGGTAGAGAGCTTCTTGCCTTGTGAAGCAGAATCTGGCTGCAAAACAACAAACTGGAACAGGTGCTTTTCCATGTATTTTTAGCCTATGTAGAAACAAGATGCAGGTATTACAGAGGTAGAGGCACATGCCCCTTGCGTTTATGAAGATATGATCATTATGTCCCTAATTGGATCTTCCAGTTCCGTCTCATCTTTCAGAAGTTAAATAATAATGGTGTGCCACAACAGTCTGTGCCATAGCATAGCCTGGTGGGCTGTGTTACTCTGAGCATTAACCCTCCCAATATCCCCACAGTAGTATTTCCTTGCTGGGAACAGTGTGCTGCTCATTTTCTGCGTTTATGGGTGATGTGTAATATAAGCAACCCTTGCCCCGTACCAGGAGTGAGTTAAACTGGGCCTTTAGACACATTTCATGGCAGGAAACACGTGGGGCACTTAGGAAAAGCGGGTGACCTCCAAGAGGTAAGGAAGGAAATGGACTGTTACTAATCCCTTGGATAGGTGCAGTGTGTTCAGGTGATTTAATTTGCTGACAGTGAACAAGAGGTGGTTGGCCTCCAAGTAGCATGTAAGGAGGGCACTTCTCTTCCCCAAGCTCTAGGCTTCAAAGCCTCAGCGGCAGTCTTGATTTTGAGAAAAAGTTCCACAGAAATTTGCTCTTAATATGCTGGTATTTGTTTTGATATACTAGTCTTGCAGTGCTGTACCTGGTCTTACAACTCCCCACCCCCCCTCCGGCTGAGTTTGACTTAGGTCTCTGTAGCATCATTCTGGAAAAGACCTATGTCTTTCCTCTTGATGCGAGGTTAGTAGGATCCAGTCCAATATGCAGGAAGGTCACACACGTATTGAGTTGTGGCAGCAGAGGTAACATTTGGCTTGGAGGAAGAAGCTCTGTAGCATAGAGCCTTGGGGAAACAGCCACACCAGTTCTACTGCCGCATGAAGAGAAGCCTAGGCCAAAGCTAAGTGTTTTCTCCTTATCAAATAGATGTTAACGAAGAATGAAATGGAAACAAAAAAACCCTCGCGGAGGACATCATAATCACAAATATTACATATTACAAATAAAGATTTATTTTTATGGAATTATTCAAGAATTGTGAAATAGAAAATAAGCCAGCTTGAGAATGCCAGAAGTTACACTGGAAACATCAATGTTAACATAGCAAATTGTGGAAAATACAAAATTAAAGTGCTGAATCTTCAGTCATAGCATTAGAATCACTAGCAGCAATAACAAAACAGAACTCAGGGTGTGAAAGCTTAAAAGGAAAAAGATTTTGTCTTTTTCCTGAAATACAAACCACTTGGAAGCCCTCGGTGTCTTCCATAGTGTAAAATTGGGCAGGTATTAAAAAAGAATTGTGCACTATTAAAATCTAATACCAACAAGGAGGCAAGTCAGTCCAAATTACCTGCAGCAAAGGCAGGCAGTGGCTGTATGCATACTTTATGCAGAGGGCATCTCATTTTAGTAATCTGTCAAACGTTAGTAGTCACTTACGCATCAGGATCCAATGCAACTGGTATGCAACGCTTCACCTCCGATGAAAAAGAACTAACAGAATTGCTATGAAAGGATCAGGCGGAAGTTCCCATGACTTTCAAAACATCTAAAATCCGTGGGAATGCAAGCTGGGCTGTCCCTGGGAACCTCATTTTGAACCTCTACTAGCGTATTTTGTGGACTGAGGGAGTTCAATATATAAACTTTTGAAAAAGAAAGATAAAAATCTTACTCTGTATAAATAGTTATCTATAAAAGTTGCTTTATCCCTAGAAAATTATGCTCTGTTTTCATTTTCTTTGAAGACAAAGCAAGAATGGCTTGCATAAATGTTCCATCTTCACACAAACAGTAGTAGACACTTGGTAGAGTATCATCAACATTAGCAAAGCTACCTCAACGTACATCAGCAGGGAACGATCCATAGGACCTAAGTTATACAAGGAGATAATAATGGCTTCTCTCTCAAGCAGTGTTTTGGGAATTCAGCCATTAAAACATGGAAAGTGATTAACATCTCAATATTACATATTGAAATTTAAAATACTGTAAAAACAGCATGCTAAGCTTATTGTGTTAAACTTAATGAAATTGGCAATTTGCTTGCATGGTGGTTAAGTAATTCAGATTCCGTGTAATGGGACTAAATCCTTCAATTTAGCAGATTGTTTACCTGTGTCAAGCCTTCAATCAGCAACAAGGTATTAAAGTATCACTTGCCTGTTCTGTCACACACAGCTTTCAGACCACATGGTACATTTCTTCTATATCTGAATATGTATTTTAAACTCCTAATGAAGCTAGTTGGTACTAGCACAAAGCTCCAAACAGATCCTAGCACTATTGCACTCTTCATCTCAAAAACAAATAGGAAATAAATTCAATCTGAACAAGAAAACTCTCTCTCTTCACGTCCTTATTGTTTTACTTGGCACTGAGTGTTTTTCAGGATAAAAACCATTTTCTTGTCTGCAGGCAGCTCCATTCAAATGGCTGGTGCTTTCAGTTGCAGAGTCTGGTTGAGGACTTCCTTCATCAGCCTGAAACACAGACAAAATATCAATGAAGTGTCATGCTAAACTTTCAACATGCAGCCAACTGAGCTTGATCTCCATTAAGAAACTCTGCATGACTCTTCCGTTTTAGTAGCGCAACTTCTTGCCTTTGGAAGAGATTGACCTGAATGGACAAATGCTAACAACAGACAGTTTGTACCCAAAATCTAGATTCATCTGCTGTCTGGATAGCCAGTAATCCATACGATCTCTGCCTTAATTACTCCTCCCTAGACAGCTGAGCTATTGCATCCTTGCCATTTGCAGCATCAATGGAAAACTCACCAAGGAACACCTCAGTGAGCTTTCCTATGGCACAGTGGACGATACGTATTTTTAAGGGTGTGAGAAATTATATATGATTTGTCCAAAGCCAGTGTTGCAACTTAAGAAGTCCTAATTTGAATGCATGGCAACCATTCATACTCAAAGACCTATAGTGGAAACTAAGTCCTTGAAACACTGTAAAAATTGGAACTCTTCCAGGTTGAAGGCAGGCTTAGAAGGCCAAATATCCACTGGAAGCACTCAGTACCTAGAACGAGTAAAATTCTTGACTGCTTAGAGCTCACAGTTGTGTGCAGCCCAAAGTCTAGTAGGTCTTGTTTACATACATGCAAGGCAGACAAGGCAATGGGTTTGTCTATAAAACGTTTCTTGTTGTAGGTCTGTGTTATCAGCTCTTTCTAGATCTGCCCCAGTAACACAATCCTCTCAGGTTTCTTGTAATAGATTATGTTCTGAGCTCAGTTTCAATGCACAGAGCCACTTGTACCACCAAAAAGTACTCAACTAAAATCATTTGTTTCAGCAAACGTCTATCTGATTAAAATTTCCATAAAAATTCAAAACATACTTTTATTTTACAATGTGCGTTTGTAGATACATCGTTTTCTGTCTTCATTCCAGTTGCCTCTTCTATTTCTAAGAAAAAAATAATTTTAAAGAACCAAGAGTAAGTAAGCGCACAGTCATTTTAACAGCTGGCCAGAGGAAAAGAGTACCCAATCAACTATTCCTCTGTGCATTTATCCCACAGGGGAGTGACTGAAGAATAATGAATATTTCCTAAAACATTTTCCCAAGGAAACGTGATTAATGCATGAAGGCCGTGTAGCTTGTGAGAGTTTAGAGTGAACATAGCAGCTTAGCATAGGGGTTCAAGACAGATCTTTCAGAGCTGCCTGCCTGCCTTTATCCAGCAAGTTCGTGTCAGTCTACCTCCAGTTGTTTTAATCTCAGGAGAAGACAGTATTCAACTTAGACTGAGCTTGGAAAGCCCTTACGCTAATAGTATGTTATTAATAATAAATAACCCGATGTTATTTTCCCCTGGATTGGTCCCCAGGTAGAAGATAAATGGAGCCTGAAGACTTTCAGGCTACATTGGAGCAAGACAAGAAATTGTGCTCAAGAAAGCCAGTTCAGAGAAAAAAAAACAAAGCACAAAACAAAACAATGAAAAACCCAAACAGAGCATTATGGAAAGTTTTACCAGTGTTTCAGTAATGTCTTTCAGGCCTCTAGTGAATTACTTTATCTGCTCTTTACCATTCAGTTTGTGTAATCAAAATAAAATATGCAAAAAAAGAAAACAAATCTGTAAGAGGAAGACTCAAGAGTGGGATTTAGCCTAAAAAGTGTGGATCAAGTATGTATGAGGCTTTTAAAACTTTGTTTAGAATAAATGACATTGAGAACAGCAGCTTGGACAAGAAGCTCAGAAAGTAATTACTTCTCCTGACTTGTAATGGCCTGCATTATGGCACTGTGGCTGGTGTTCCCCATGTGTCATTTGGAAATGAACAGAGTATTCTTTTGGGCATTAAAGCATACATACCTGTGAGAAGTACATCAATTGTCTCCACTACATGTTTTGCATCTTCCATAGTGAAACACATTGGTGGTTTAAATTTCAGTATGTTTCTGTAGGGTCCATCTGCACTAAGAAGGATTTTCTGCTCTTTCAGCCTGTGGAAAGAGGGAACATATGTTAATAAACAGTTACACAACTACACGGTTCCCATCCTTTAGGCAAAGTTCAATTCTGAAAATTTTTCTAATGCCACGCTATCACAAGCGACCTGAATTTAAACTGAAATTAATGAGTAACTACTTGGGAATATTAGGAGGGTTTGATCGCTGTATGCAGTCTTTAGAAAATATTTACTTGTAAATGAGGTGAAGGGCTTCAGCTGTAGCTGGTGTTCTCTTTTCTTGATCCTTCACCAAATCCACACCAACAAACAATCCAACGCCTCTGCAGAAGAGAATAAAACATGGAAAGATAAAATCCTGTGTTCATACTGATAAAGTGGGTGTACAGCTGATTCTGAATAAATTCAGCTGACTCATTAAGGCTACATTCTTTCTGTAGAAACCTGCAAACCACAAAGTAGAGTGCTGTGAAAGGTAGCAAAAAACAAGAAGAAAACCAAGAAGAAAAACGAAGGCAAAACTGAAGGTGGCTAACTGAAGGATACTAAGATGAGGTGAGGGGAACCCACACCAACATCTCCAAAGGAAATGATATGAAGATTTGAATGAGGTTTCCATCATCCCAGGAGTATGCTGACGACTGGACTAATCTGTGGTGATGGACTTTTCTCCTATCTACTCCCAGAGCCTCTCTAGGCTACACTTACTCCCTAGCTAAACAGCTGAATGGAAACATTTATTGTAAAATAAGTTCTTTGCAGTATTGATGCTGGGTAGCCCAATTTCAAAAGGAGTGGCGTGTAAATCATGGCATATTGTTTCTGTGTTCCCCTCACCCCAGACTTGCAGATTTTCCCATCATCTCTCTAAAACACCTAACAGCCATGAAACACCTACCTGATATCTCCCACTAAGGGATGCTTCTTCTTTTGCTCAACCAGCAGTTCTAGGAGGTAACTTCCTACACGTGTAGCGTTTCCTTGCAGATCTTCTTTTTCAATTACCTCCAGTACAGCCAAACCAATAGCGCAAGACACAGGATTGCCTCCAAACTTACGGTAAAAACAACAGGAAAACAGAACCCATCAGAAATGTTCATCTGTGTCTACTCCTGTATCTTTTGCTTGACCTCTCCTACGTGACATGTAGTGAGAAAAGCTTAAGGAGGCTGAGATTCTGTGCTGGGCAAGCTGCAAAAGACATTTCCCCATGGGCAGCGTTGCAAAGCCCAAGGAAGGGAGCTCCCCATTCCATCGCTTCAGGTTTCAGTAATTTGAAGATTTCACAGCTCAAGCATTCAGGCTGCTCTCATGGTTTGCTGATTACGTATGCAGACAAAGTGCTCCTCTGAAGGGCAGTGGGTTATGGATCTGGGGTTTCCTGAACTGTACCATATAAGCTCCATTGAAAGCAGGGGGAATTAATGGCAGCTGGGAAGAAGTCACAGGAGCAGAAAAGAGGATTTGAAATAAGAAGAAAACTGCGCCTCTGTGGCAAGCATGCCGTTCAAACGTTTCCTGGTAGAGGGTCAGTTTTGTTAGGTGACAGCTGCACAGAAAATTCTTCCAGGACCTAATCCCACCTGCACAGGACTCATAGCTGATCCTGTCCTTGATAATGAAGTGTTACATGGTCAGCATTTCAGAGGAAACAAGGGAGAAAAGGGAGTTAAGGTATAATTTATCTGTATGCATAGAAGCTGAGCTCCATGACTTGCCAGAGAGCTAGTGCTGGTCTATTTGTTTTTAAATATTAGACTGGCTAACTCCAGCTCTTAGCAACATGATGTAATGAAGGATGCAGGTGTCAGCAGAATGACTTGAACAACTTGTAACTGCTAAATGTAAACTAACAAACAAAAAGGACAAACCTTCACATACAAACTTACTGTATTAAAATACTCCAGTCCAGAGGCACCAAACTTTTCAGCAATTTCCCTTGTTGTGACCACACAAGACATAGGATGGCCATTGCCAATGGGCTTTCCCATGGTGATGATGTCAGGCACAAAATCTTCACCTTGCAGCTGGAAAGCCCAGAAATGCTTCCCAACTCTGCCGAAGCCAACCTGGACCTCATCAGCTATGAATACACCACCTGCTGCACGCACATACCTGAAAATAAATAGAATGGATGGTTGGACTGACTGTGCAAACTGATTTTGAATAGGTAAATTAGGTAAACAAGGATGTCTGCAGTACAGAAAATCTCTACTGTGAAACCAAGTTAGGGAAGAAAAAAAAAAAAGAAAGAACATGACTGCTGAAATATAATTCGGTACTGAACTTAAGTGCTGGTGCTCTAGCAACCGTGCTCAGAAGCTGTATAACCGTGCAAGCCCCCTGGCATACATCCCATCAGTCTGTATAAGAATAGCTTGGTTCTTCCTCTCTTATTCCAAAGATTGCTGCCAGGACTCTGCTTTCAGGAATAGTCTGACATCTGGATCCAGAGTTACTTGAGTTTCTCCTTTGTTGTAGGAGCACTCCTTTGCTACTTGAGCACTACAAGTAGTACTACAAATACTTCAAGCTCTACTTATGCTTCATTGACCTAGCTCTTACTCAAGCCCTAGTAAGCATACAGATCACTTATTCTGATATTTCTGAGATGTACACAGCTTTTTTTTTTTTTTTTTTTTTTAATAGCTGGATTTGAATGACTTTCAAATGAATTTCAAGCCAATTGTTTTGCCTTCAGTGTGACAATACAGAATTGGAATGTGCAACAGTGACTGGAAACTTGTCAAGCAGAGCTATACTTATTTGAATTGATAAAATATTTAGTTGACTAATTGTTAACAAAAAAATTAGCTAATACTTGGATGGAAAATAGGAGGACTGTAATTGTACTGCAGGGCTACCACTCTGATGGTTCAACTTTATCTTCCATCAAACTTACACAGAACGTTAAAGATAGACAATTACGTAGCTAAAAGAATTAGTCAGCTACTGTCCCATAGAAAATAGAAGTGGGATCATACTCTTCAGAACAAGAACACGTGAGGGACATAGTTGAATTGATTAGATTAGCCCATAGTGAAAAACATATTTGTGGTTAATTTTCCAGGTATGCCCTTCTAGAGCGATGTACATACTCTGCCACTTTCTGGAAATAGCCCACAGGTGGAATTACTTGGCCTCCACAGCTCTGCATGGATTCAGCTATGAAGGCAGCAATCTGAAAAAAAAAACAAAAAAAAAAACTCAGGTAAGAGCTATGTTCATCTGTTTGGCCTTGCCCAAATATTTAACAGTCTAGAAATAAACGTTACAGAGTGTGCCCTAATTTAATCACACACTGGGTTGGACAGTTGAGGGCTCTTGAGAAGTTATGGCTAGAGAGCTTACTCATTTTTCAACAGGGGGTGCCCAAATCGCTGTAGCCAGGGTCGCCTTTGCAATGATGAGAATACAAGGGCTTCCATTAATCCCTGATCTTACTGCTATTGAAGTTGGAGATGCTCGCTGGTGTCAGCGGACATCAGCTACAGGCTCCTGGGAGCTCTGTAATTTAATTTACAATTTACAGGAGGAAACACAACAATGTTCACAGTTTTCTCCAAGAGATGAATAAAAACTTGCTAAATGCCAGAACACACCAGTAACAGGTACGCATCAGCTTAATTGTTCAATCTCAAACACCAGGCAGAGCCGGGTAGAAGATGACCCGAGGCTATGCTTTGGGCACCCCTGTCTAATGTAAATAACTAAACAAGTGAAATATCAGCATGAGGCACTTGACAGAAGAGGAGAAATAAATAAATAAAATCGACAGATGAATAATTCCAGTTGCTAGGAATGAAAAAGAAAGTTATTTCAAGTCAAGAAGGGCAAAAGTAGTGGATCAGTTACACTGGAACAACAAAATTTGTTTCGTGTCAACATGTCTATGCAGCAGAGATACAGTATTACCCAAAAGTCTCAGCATAAGTCTGCTATTTAAGGGGTTGCATCCCCACACCACTTTTGAACCCCTCCCTGATCATCAAGAGGTCTCTTTGAGTTGGTGCAGTCTTCCTGGAAACAAGGCCGAGCAGTAATGTGTAAAGAATCGTACAATATATTTGAAGAGGCATGCTACAGCCAAAGAGTACGAAGCTTCCATAGCATGTGAGGCTTAGCCTTTAGTACAACTTGTCCTGCCATAGGTTATGTCACCAAAACCTAAGAAATATGCAAAAGAAAGGAAACAAAGGAAGAAAAAAAAAAAAAACAAACACACACAAAACTATCCGTTAGTAGAGAATTAAAAAGTTGATGAAAGAATTAAGAGTGATACAAGTCCATTGGACTATAAGGGAACATGTTCCCACCTCCACTGAATGTGGGGCGTTGAATCAAGACCTTAATGTCCCAAAATGTTAGTGCAATTGTACAAAATATTAATACACATTGTAAGCAGCCTGCTTTCAGTTATTATTATTTTTTGAATTGAGATCATGTGATTAAAATACTGATCTTTTTAAATGACTCCAAAGTTATCTTAGGCTACTGCAGTCAAAACTGTAATATCAAGGTTTTATCTACCATATTTTCTCCATCCTTGACACTTTTACATACCTTTGCTAGAATTTTTGGTGTAGTTTCTCAGCTTACCCCCAAGCCTAGCTGTGCTAACATATTCACAGTCTACTGGTGCCTAGAAAAATTATGATAAGAACATCTGGTTGAAAAATGGCACATTTTGAACACAAAGGAAACTAAGTAGAGGAGTATATCTTTAGTTTCCTGTTTCGTGCCCCCATTTTACACTTAGGAGATGAAACTTCAGCATTTCTAGAGCACAAGATACATACCTTACGTCCATTCTTCTGCGTTTCCTCAATAATCTTTTTCACCTCTTCAGCATAAGCGCTTGCTGGGTCTGGGTGATCTTCCCTATATCTTCCTCTATAGATGTCTGGAGAAGGAGCCTGAAAAGACCAAAATTTTTTTAAAAGCCCATCTTTCTGTGAAGCATTTACTTCCTGTTTCTTTTCTCTTGCTCTGCATTTCTGGAACAGGATATACTTTTGCCTTTCCACGCAGATAAGAGCCAGCACAGTCTCAGTTTCTGAATGGAATTACAAAAAATACATGTAGAGGAGCCTAAACACAAATGCAGTCCTGTGATGTATTCAGTACAACTGAAGGCAACTGTTGAAAGCCATTTAACTTATCCACCTTTTCAATATCATCCCTCCTCTCGCCTAAGACATAATGCCATGTCTTCGTCTCTCATCTTATTTTAGATTATTGCAGGATGTTCCACTTCTGCAACTGCATAAGTGGGTTTTCCAAACAGTCACTTGATTTTCAGCATTCTCATCACAGGAAGTAATCTGAGTGAACTTCAAGCATCTACAGTGTTGGAAGAAGTTCCATAAATAAAGAAATGGAACCATTATAGAAAAGAGGGCATTAATCTGACAGTGTGGTTAACACCAAGAAGTCTGGATAGGAAACACCTCTTTGCAGTTTGGTGTACTTCTCTAAGAGTGAATTTTGGTTTGGTAAAACATACAAGATTAGGCTGGAAATCAAACAGTACAATGGTCCCTTGAATACCCCTGAGCTCTCTGCCCAGAACTGTGTGTACACACGTGCTCCGCCTTTCTGGTTTTTGGAAATAGACTCAAAATTCCTGCATATTTTTAGCCAAATTAACACAAGAGATATCGGCTACCTTCTTCAAACTGTGTATCTGTACAGGCCAGTGACTCAGGGAACTTGCCGCACTGAAAGGAATTCAGCTTCCCAGCTGAGTACTGTCTTTGAAATACAAAAGCAAGCAATTTTGCTGTTTTAAAGCCACTAACACTCAAGTGTATGTGCACTGGCATTAGCAAAGCAGAATGAAAGTATATTTACACCCAGAAGCGAGCAACTGAATGTGCTGCATAAGAGGCATAACAATGTAAAGCAAGAAAAAACAAAACAAAAAAACCCAATAAACAAAACAAAAAAAAAAGAAAAGAAAACCACACTTACCACATGCACAAACTCCTTCTTGCTGTCCTTTCCCAGCTGATTAAATTTATAGGGACTGATGTCAATCAGAGATGTAACATGGCCATGGTAAGCACTGCATGAGTGTTAAACGTTGAAGTCATTTTTCTCCAAATTCATAGAAGAGCTAGATTTACAACTATACCCATAAATAAACCAGACTAATAGACTGTATCTGCAACAGATAGATGCAACTGTAGAAATGTTTGTGATGGGATCTTGGTTTAAATTCACTAAATCTTTTTTTCAAGGCAGTATGAAACTGCTATTGATTTAATTAATTAGCAAGCTAGGAACCAGGAGTGAGGATTTTTTCTTGCGTTAAATCAGCTGCAAGTGTAAGGACAGAAAAAGATGCTGTCCGTGAGTTGCAACACCAGCTGCCCTCACCAGCCTAGAGACCCCAGTTTAGCCTACTCAAGCTTTCTGAGGTAGACACCAATAACACTGCAAAGGCTCTTAAGAGTTTGTGCTGCAGCAGAAGATTCGTATTTTGTACAGCAGCAGCTCATCACTACCTGCCCCAAAGGCTCGACAGTCTTGTCTGTTTGGCCAAAGCCAATCTCAGGATAAGGAGGAATAATGAAAGCCTTATAATTACGCTAAAAGTGGTTACTACTGAGGTCAGCTTGACTTAGAAATTAGGAAGCACAGCCTTCTGAACATAAGTTCATAACATTTAGTAGCTTCATTCAAGGAACAAACACTTCCATTTAGCCATGAGCTTGATGCGAAGAAATCCTGAACCCCAAAGACATGTCACAATCTAATTGCAGAAGAAATAGTGTACAAAAGGGTTTGGGTCTTTTTTTGACTCTTTTCTCTTCTTAATTCCTGTCAGTCATCAAAATCTGCCAGTAGAGCCAAAGAAAGGACAGAAAATAGTCTGTGGCCCGGGCCCACAGATGTAGCAACACTCTGTAGAGCTTTGGAGACTTGAGGCAAAGAAATACCTTATTGTGTTCAGGAAGACAAGACCTTGCAGTCAAACAGAATAACTGAGCCAGCACCATCATCAGCTTCTCCTTACTAAAGCTACTGCCAGTGGCTCCAAATTGTGGCTGTGTAAGTCAAGGAGGGCCGGCAGTGATCTGACTGCAGCTGGGTCAAACAAGCCTTCTGCTGTTCAGGTAAAGATGTGCTCTTGCAGTTTCTCTACTTGGACTTTCTGATCAGAGGTTGAGGAAAAGTTAGAGCCCAACAGTAGCATAACCAACCTTACACCTCCATCTAAGGTAGGGAAACCCAGAGACATGGTCAACCGCATTTTCCATGACTTTTCAGTTCCTCCTGATTTTGCGGCTGCTCAATCTTGTGTGCTTACTCCTGTGTTCAGTGGAGAAGAGCTGAGCATCAGAGCAACAGAGCATCAGCACCATTGCAGAGCTCCAGGATCTTTCTTCTTAACCATGAAGTATTTATTTATCTATTTAGAATCGTTGAGTCCTAGAGTCATTTAGGATGGAAAAGACTTTCATGATTATCATAAAGAAATACATCCAGCAGAATGTGGCAGAAAGCCCTTTTCCAGAGTATCCTATGGGCTAGACCACTTATTGGTGCTTCAGAGTGACTCCCAAGCCTCTGGACTGAATTGCTTTGGGATGCTCTGTGTGAAATCCCTGTAACGGGTGCCTGACAATCTCTGTTTCTTACAAATCTTCAGAACTTGTGTTTATCAAATGTGGAAAAGGGAAACTTATTTCCTGGCCTCTTCTCCTATGAAAGCCTTGCTTTCAGCAGCCAGTACAAGCAGCAGCGGGTTGCTGCAAAGCTGCTTCTGAAGCAATTGTAGGAATTGATGGCTGCATCTGCAGTCTGTTCTGTGTACTTACTTTTCAAGGGTGATCACATCTTGGTGTCCGTGGTACTGCCGAGCCAGTCGTAAAGCCAGATCATTTGCTTCAGACCTGCATAGTAGCAGAGACATCCACAACACAGTGAGGAAGGGCTCCCAGTTAAAATTTGTTCTAACACAGAAGAGTAGGCCTGAGACACAGCAGGCTCTGTTATTATACAGAATACAGTGCTAAAGTTGAGACTGTAAACACCATTTAAGACAATGAATCAAAACCAGCCCTTTGTACAAACAACAAACAAAGAGATGCATTATTTCACTCCCCCAGTTTGCTTGTACACATTTCCCTCCTCTTGATACAAATGAGACCACTTCACAGTGCAGTCAGCAGCTGGAAGCGCAACACAACTGCAAGCCTTTGAAAAGCTACAGAACATGCCAGCCCTGCGTGTACCTCCACAATGGCTCCATCCTTCCCAGCATCATCCAGCAGTGGAGGACACAAATCTGCTCCGGCTGAGAGCCCCAGGCTTCCAGCCTGATCTACAGCAGCCCCAGTTCCTACTGCCTGTTGGGCAGAGTCCGTGATCACAGATTGGACAGACCATCTGAAAGAGCTACTCGCTTCCAAGGTTGTGTGCCCCTTTAAACATAGCGTTCACTAATTTGCTGCCTGAATTTGCGTTTCTTGTTGTCCATTCCCCCCGCCTTTTTTTGTCTGATGTTCTTCAGTTCCATCCTTTGGCTCTCTTGCACCGAGCCGTCGTACTAAGTCCTTCAATCAGTCGTTACTGGAAATAATTGTGTCATTTATTACTAAGCCCCACTCTCACAGGTTTAAGGTTTGGACCAACCTATTCTGAACGTTCATCTTAAACACAAAGAAAACAGCCTTAAAAATAAATAAATAAATAAAAATGAGCAGACCTACCCAGAGTTAACAAAATAGCAAACAGAGAGTTTCTCTGGCAGGGTAGCAGTAAGACGCTGAGCGTACTGAACGAGGTTGTCATGCAGGAACCGGGAATTCGTATTGAGCAGTTCCATCTGTCTTGTTGCAGCCTTTGTCACATAGGGATGACTGTGGCCAACTAAAGAAGAAAACAGTTGATACTAGCAAACAGTCACTGAACCACAAAAGGAGGCTGAGGAAAGAGCTGTGACCATTTTGTCACTTGAAATAAGTGCGTTAAGATTCCTACTAGACGTGAAGCACAAGATAAACTGCTTACCATGTGCAACGTTGTTGATACAGTCTAAGTATTTTTCTCCAGTCTCATCAAACATATACTGGCCCTGAGCACGCACTATCTTCAGAGGGTCCTTGGCAAAGAAAACTTTGCAGGAAGGCCTAAAAAAATTGTATAAAATAACACCATTTTATTTCTTTGAGGAGTTTCCCCTCCCAAAGGGTTGGTGAGAGGTTATCTGCTGCAGCTCTGGAAACGGAAAGAGCTGCTTTCCTTCTCTGAAGATTGTCTGGGAGCAGAAGGTGGCGGAGAAGAACTGCCCATGCCTGGGACCAGGAGCAGCTCTTGCCAGGGGCGTTTTAAGGCATGGCTCTGTCTAGCAGAGTCCTCATGAGCACAATGGCTGCAAGTCTATCCAGGTGCCTATAGGTCCCACTGCATTTCTGTCTGCACAGCTCAAGAAGCAGCCAGCCAGCAAACTCACTGGGAGTAAAGCAAAGTTGTTAAGAATTGTCTTATGCTGTAGCCAGAAGTTCCTTACGCAACAGCCGAAGTGGCTACAGAGGTCACCTTCAGGAACAAAACACTGCCTCATTGCAGGCATTATTTTCACCTTTCACGGGTGTTGAGAAGGACCTGAAATCTCTATATCTCTGAAATCAACTACTTTGATCAAAACTCTTAAAAGCAGCTTTCTGTAAGCACACAAATCACGCTGGCTTCCAGCAGAACTCAGGTTCCTCGTGGCAGATCCAAGGGACTCTTCAAACATTTTTTTTGCCCCTGTGGAGAACACAGCAGCTATGGAGTTATGTTGAATGGCCTTACTGAGCAGAATGAAAGCCTTCTAAACTTTTAGCAGTGTTTATATGGCCTTGGATAAACACATCTGTTTCCAGGTAACCCAGGCAGTGCTCCTAACACATCCCATGTGTCTTCTCTGTTGAGATTGGGACCCTGTAAAGCCCAGAGGTAACTCCTAGGAAGAAAACCCACTTGCTTTCTTTCTCATACCTCACACTCCTGTTACATAGATCTTTTCTGCTATCTTCAGCTATTCCTCTGCTACACTTTACAAGAAGCACACTTCATCAGCATCATTATTACGGGGCATTTCTGGATGACAGTGTTCTCTTCTGCTCCGTGCCCACCCTTCCTGCAGGAGGTTTTTGGCATCTACCCAACACAGCTCGTGCAGGGAAGCACCCTCAGCAGCCGACCCCTACAGAGGGGTTGATGTGCATGCTTTATGAGGCCACGCTCTCTGTGAATTTTTAGAGAGTTTTCTATACACCCGGAGTATTTAGGCTGCCATCAGCAAATAGCCAGGTTTGGTTCTAACAATCTCAGCTTTTTTTTTCACCTGTCTGTCTGAAGCAGAGTGCCATGGCACAGCCCTTCTCCCGCCCGCCCCGCCGCCCCTACCCGATGTGCTTCCTCCGCAGCGCCAGGGTCTCCGCCTTGCTGTAGCGCTCCTCCATCCCGCCCGGCAAGGCACGGCGCGCCACGGAAAGCCCGGGGGCTCCCCGCCTCTTATCGCGGAGCCGGCCCCGCCAAACCACTCCTCCTTCCCTCCCTTGCTCCCTCCTTCTTTCCCTCCCTCTGTGCCCTCCCTCCATTCCTCCTTCCCCGCTCTGCTCCTGTCCCTGCAGTGCCAGGCGATGAGAGCTAGCAGGCAGCGAACAGAAGGGAGACGGGGAGCCTCGCCCCTGGAGCGGGCTGCTCTCCTCCCATCCTTCGTTCTTCACAGCACACGCTTGGGTAACCCTGAGTAATTGATTCACTCGAAACTGGGGCCGTAATTCAAGCACCTTCCCAGTTCTGCTCCATCTCCCAGAATCTGTAACGGCATACTCGTATTACGCAGCACGGGGCTGTAGTCCTGGTATTCTGATGCACTGATGCATCCTATTGTAGGGCTGGCAGCACTTAACTATAAGTAGTCCCATTCTCCCCTGCTACCCACAGCACTGATTCAGACCTGGGATGGTACAGTCTGGCATTCCTTCATGGATACCCTTGGTGACCGTGGGAGAAAGAGGCAATGACACTAAGAGGCATTGCTTTTCCACACAGCAAGCCAAGCTGCTGGCAGAGCTGCTTAGCTTTACCTCCCCTCTGCCATGGTGTACCCACAAACCATCCGGAGCTCCTTGAACCACAAAACCTACATCCACTTCCCTGCTGCCCCACTGTGCAGTCATTGTGCTCCACGAGCAGTCAAAGCATGTCTAGAATCACACACAGCTTTGCGTGCTGCTGCAGCTTGTCTTTTCTGGGTCGGAACTGAGTTAGTCATCCCAGTACTTGGAGGTGCAGACACATACCTTCATATTTTTAGATATTTTTATACCTCTGCCAAGTAAGCCACTTTTCTCCCAGCTTCTCTAGTCGAGCAGCAGCATTTATATCCTACAGGCATTTTCTTCAGCCCGTGTTAATTTTGAAGTTCCCCAGCTTTCACAGCCTGTTTCATCAGCAGCCTCACGTCACCAATTAGCAAAGCAAATGCAGCGCAGGTGGCAGAGACCCCAGCAGCTACACCTCCGCATCCTCGACAGCCAGCAGCCGCTCGTCCTCAGAGCCAGAGATACGACACGAACTTAAGTTCTAGCTGCGTGCATTAGACGCTGTATCTAACTGCGATCGCGACGTCGGGAGGAAATTCAGGACGACCGCTTTTCCCACACCCCGTGCCCGCCTGCCCTCTGTCGGTGCTGGGACAGCACGTCCCTCCGCCAGGGCTGCTGGCGCTGCTGGTGCTGGGAAGCAGCAGCTATTTGCACCGTCCTGCCCCGTCTCGCTGTTTCAGAAAGCCTGCGCCCCAAAAAGATGTAAGGGCTATGCAAGATGCCGTTCTGCTCTTTTACAAGCGTGCATCACTGGCCTGTCGTGCTTACATCAGGCCTTTGTTCCAGCTTTAGCAAAACGATGCTGTGTTAGCAACTGATATGATGCTCAAGTTCATCAGAAGAGTTCAGAGTGGGATAGGAACTAGCTTGGTACGAGGCAGGTTCCTGCACCTGTTCCTTCAGAGCCACAGAAGGACATGCATCAGCAAAAATGCCCTTTCCTCTTGATGGATGGCTTTTGCACGCTTTTCTGATAAAGTCAAGAGTCAGGCTGCCATGTCTCACGTGTAGAGCAGAGAAGGGCTTTTTCCCACAGTTAGCAGAAAGACCCTGCCAGACACACAGGGCTGCCACCCACTCCCAGCACCACACTATTTAGCTTTTTAGTCCTTTCTGGCCCCTTCCACCTGTTGCCATGATGCTGTGGAGTAACACATATTTCTCCATGATATAGAAGATTATTATTACATATTTTTTTTAAGTAAGTAGATGTACTGCTTTCTCCATCTCTTTCTGCTCACTTTCTGAAAATTTTGTTTTTTCCTGTCTCCCCGTATGGAGGATGAAAAGGAGGAAATGCTACCACAAGCAAGTCAAAGTGTCCAGTAAAATGACTTCCTCTCCCTAAATACTGCTTCAGAGTTGGTGAGCCTCTGTTGCTGTGAAACGTTGCTGTTTCATTCTGAAAGGCAAATCCATTATAGCTGGTCAGTGGAAAATGACCCATGCTGATGACATGTTTCTTTTCAGAAAGATAAAGGAGGGCACATGGTGCCCACTGCCTCTTTGCAGGAGCAGCCAGCATTACCTTCCAGAGCCATTTGCATGCATTCTGCTTTCTAAATGATGTTTGTTGAGAAATCATTTCAGTGCTGAACATGCCAGTAGTGTTTACAGTTCTGCATTTGTAAAGGGCAAATATATTCACACAACTTCATGAATATCATAATAAGAAGAGTTGATATTTTTGTTTGCTTTTATTGTTATGCCATGTTTGTTTTTATGTATGTTACCTCAGGCAGAATCGGTTATGTCTCAACACTCTGACTGTGCCACAGGCAGGAGAACTCCTACAAGCACATGAAAAATTGCCAGGTACTTGTTGTTCCAGGAGGAAGCAGCCAGACAAAAGGTGATGCCAGCAAGAGCTCATGATTGCTTGGAATACTCAGCCACGCTGTAATCCGTACATACAAAAATGATAAGAGTATTTATTAGTACCAAACATTATGTCTTGGCATATGCACATCACAGACCTGCATCTTAATTGATGTGACTTCAGACGCAAATTGCAGCACACTGAGTACAGCTACACTGGCAGAACATGCTCTCCTGTTGCAGGTTTGTGTATAGTATTTTCCTGAAAAATACAGTCCATGTATACTGACACACATACAAATGCACACACGCACTTGTGCATGTGAAACGTCTAAGCTCTGACTTTACAGCAAACATTTCAAAGCAGCACATTTTTCTCCTACGGATGGAAAAGGGAGAAAATGTCTTATGAGCACTCAGACTGGGAACCAGCAGACCTCAATGGAAAAGCAGATGAGTTCATAACCCTGGGAAAATGGAAAGACTGCATTTGTGGGAACATGACTCGGATGGTTTGGCATTCCCTTGTTTTGTTTTTCACATTTATTTGGGTGTGGCTGTTAGTACTTGCTGGAACATGAAGGTTTTGTCAGGTCCTTGTGTTGTCCTTTTAGTAACATTTATTTTTGTGTAGTTATTAGAATTGAATCACCAGGTGAAGTTGGGTGAGGTAGGGACATACAAGGACACTTCTGTTTTCCTCTTCTGATTGCCATGGACTCCTTTTTATAAATGGGAAGGATCAGCAGGTTTAGTAGGTCTACAAAGCAGAGTTGGATGTGAGTAACAACGTTTATATGTTAATTTAACTAAAACTTCCATTACAAATGAGAGGGAGGAGTGGCAGGGATTTTCTTTGCAGCCTTCTGGTGCTTCAGAATGTCACAGAATTATGAAGGAGGGATATGGAATGGAACAGATGCCAGAGAAAAGTCGAGTCAACATCCCATCAGTGCAGTAGGATGAAAAGTCTATAGTAGGTGGGTTAACTGAGCTTTGACTTTAGAGGGAATCCGATGTTGAAAAGTAACAGGGAGGGAGTAGCATCCCTGAATGGGAAATCTACTGAGAGGTTGCTTCGGCAGCAGTCAGAGCTTGTGGTTTGCTACCACACTGGAAATAAATCATATGCTGCAGACAGAGCTTGGTGAACAACAGAGCAGCTACGGAACTGAGAGAGGAAATAAAGGCTGGAAACGTCCAGAACGGTTGACCTTGTGCAAACGAAGTGATGATAGCCTATACGTGTACTGCTGAAACTAGGTTTATTATGGGATAAGTTCTTAAAGAGTAAATATCTGAAAAAAAAGCCATCCAACACATTCACACAGGGTCAGGATTGGGCAGGCCCAGAGCTGTGCTGCGGTTTGAGGGCCCAACATCCAGCTCCAATTTGTTTTTTTTTTTGTTTCTTGACAGTACAGCTGCAACAGAATCAAGAACCACTCTCCTTCTTCCATAGAAAAACAACAACAAAAAGTCAAAACGACAAGAGAAGCTGGTACAGAGAAAAAGCCAAGAGTGACCATCTCAAAAGCAGGGACTACGTGCAGCCGCCAGAGAACATCTGCTCTCAGCCTTGCTGGGGATGCCGGGTAAGTTAAGCTTTGTGCTGAGCACCTCCTCTGGGAAATGGAGCAGAGCTATATTTAGTACCCCTAAGAGCTAGATAAGATTAACATACATTTAGAGAGATTACCAAGAGTTAAGAGGAGATGACAAAACCACATGGTGCTCATTCTCTCTTAAAGTCTAGAATGAATACATTTTTGAGGTGAAGGAAAAAAATGGGGAGTGTTTTGTTTGTCTGAAATATTTGGAGATTTAGAAGACCCAAACATTTAAATAATGCTTTGAAGAGGTTACAGCTGCTGCCCAATGTTTTGTTCTTCCAAAAATGTCCCTTGCTCAGAGACTCCTGCAAAAATATATCCTCCGAGAACAGGATGCTTTTGAAAATACACCATTTTTAAATAATGTTTATACCTCAACTTTTTTAAGCAAAGCAGATTCATAGTAAAACGGACCAGACCTTCATATTCCCCATATTCCCTAATGGGTACTGTTGCTTGTGACATAGTCCCTTTGTGTAGCTATTTCTCAGCAGTTCAGGTTTATTTTTCATCTTAAATATTACAAAAAGGGTCCATTGGCGATTTTCAGCTTTCAGCTTTATTTCTTTGGACCCCACAATGCTTAAGCAGCAGTTTAAACTTAACCTCGGCAGCTTTTCCAGAGTGAGGAGATGCTCTATGGTTCACAAAAGAAGGCCCTTGCTTCTCCTCATTTAACTTTTGTGGACTTATGTAACCTATGGAAAAAGAAAAGGAGACCAAACAGACTTGATCTGAAGGGAATACACACACATTCATAGAACTATTAAGACTGGAAGAAAGCTCTAAGGTCATCTAGTCCAACCATTGAGCCATCCTTGCCGTGCCCGGTAACCGTGTCCCTCAGTGCCACATGTACATCAAGAATGGGAGGGCAAGGTGAGCAGTCTTTTTATTGCGCATTGTAGAAAAACACAACATGTTGCCAAGGCCCTGATTTGTGTGCTAATGTGAATACTGACTTACACAACCCACACGAGATTTCAAACTGCAAATTA